GGCACAATCGTATCGTGTGCAATTAATCGTCAGGAAAACATTAATCGATTATTATTTGGCACTTGATGATTAATATTATTAATGCCACCAGTCAGATTAGGGTTGGGTATTGAAAGGGTTTATTTTGATACCGGTGCTAAATCTATACTTTCAAAACGGTACCGGTTCCTAAATGGTATTTAAATTGGTACTTTAAAAATAAATAAATAAAACACACACACTCACACAGAGGTTTATGAAGCAATGATTATTTCTGAGGCAAAGTCAAACTTGAAATTGACCAACATATTAACTTAAAACTAGAAAACATTAAAAAAATAATTAAATTCAAGTTTTATTTTATCTAGTGCTAAATATTCAGTTTTTATTTGTATGTTAATCAGATTAATATATTTTTTACATAAAATAAAATGACTGTTTTAATATTCCAGCATTTTTGATGCAAAAACAGCATCTTGCTTTATTTGTGACGACTTCACACATACACGCAGCGCTCATAGTCTGCCTCAGTCTGCACCCATTTTTTTCACACTGGGCAAAAAATGCATTTAAACCAGCTGAAATTAAGTTTAGAGCACAGTTTGAAATGTACACCAGTGAACACCAGAGGGCGCAATTAACAGCTTTCTTTGAGGCACTGAAATAAAGCACCGAAATTAGAGTTGTGTTTTGGTCTGAATACTACCATTGATCTTCGCCCTGGTGCCATACTGGAACCGAGTTTCGGTACCTAACCCTAAGTCAGACTGACTGGAATTTTCTCCGGTCAGTCCGCTTGGTGCTCCTCTCTGCTTCAAATATGACAAACATTTAAAAAAAGGTTCTGTAATTTATTTATCTATCAACACAATTTAAAATTAGATGTATAGCCTGAAGTCTGTAATTTTGACACAATTTGGAACAGATTTTTATGAAGAGCAAATCTTTTCCCACTAATTTGGTCATGTGTCCAGGGACTCCAGGTGATTAATCGTCAAATTAATCGTTATCGGCTAAATACCACAATTAATCGTGATTAATTTTTTTTGCCAATATTGACCAACCCTACATGCAAGGAGTGGTTCTTAAMCTGAGCAGCAAAAATTCCTAGTTTCAGTTAAAACTTGTTCTGTGGTCCTTAAACAGAGAAAAACACCTTAGAAGTGGTTATACTTCCTATTTCATCATCTCTTACATGTTCACATTCCAATAGTAACAAAGTAAATAGTTCTGCAATCCAGTTGTGCAGAAACTACAGGTGTGTGTGTAGTTTAAGCTGGAACAACAAGAAATTACYTTTTAAGGTGCTCTACCAGAAGCTTACATCAGTTGACATGATTCAGAATATCATGACAGTAAGCATACAATACATTTATATGTAAAACAAGAAAAAAAAACGTAAGTAAAATACATTCAAAACTTAAATACGTGGGTGACAGTTTCATTTTCCTTCACAGTGACACAAAAAGTTTTTACTTTTGAAATTATTTCAGCATCAGTCGGTGTTTCTCTTCATCTCTTCATATGAATCATAATTAACCATTAAACTGCTGGAAGAAGTGAGACTCACGTGTCTTACTGTGCATGCCTGATCAGGAAATCTTTGATCCACCTGATGGGTCTAGTAAACAAACCGTGAACATYCGTTACTCCTAAACTCCTAAACCATTATGGCTTGAATGAATCACCTTAATTGAGAGCTGCTTGGTGTTCGTGCTACTGATTACAGCTGTTTACAAGTTGAAGGCTTGTTCAACCTCGGCTTACAGCTCATATCCTGAATTTAGAAATCTGATTTTTGTGCAATAGGCCTCAGGTGTGTCAAATCAGGAAAACATCTAAACATGCAGGAAAGGAGTCCTTCAGGACCAGGGTTGAGAACCACTGCTTTAATATATATTATCTGATTTATTTACAAATAAATGACAAAGAATCAATGGCTTCCAGAGGCAATACTAAAGAACATAAAACTAAATAAATATTGTATTTTGAAAATGTCTCATCAAACTCAGAGAAGCTCTTGAGGTGTTGGTCAACACTTAAAGCAGTGATTCTCAACCCTGGTCCTCAAGGACTCTTGTCCTGCTTGTTTTAGATGTTTTCCTGATTTGACCCACCTGGTTTGAATGAATGAGTGATTAACAATCTTCTGAAGACCTGCTGAATAGCAGAGAAACAAGTAAAACATGCTGGATAGGGGTCCTAATGGACCAGGGTTGGGAACCACCTGTATATGGTTTTCCTCAGTTCGGCATCATCCAAGTGTCTCCTTTTCTGGTTAGAACCACACACTCAGAACCTCCTCTCTGGTGGGTCTAAGCAGGTAGAACCGAGTGCTGCATGAGCAGATTGCTACACGTGGATTAACTCTTGGATTGACTTAGGGCTGCCATGATTAGTCGACGACTAATCGATTATTAAAACAGTCGATGACTAATAATCGATTAGTCTTTTTTTGTTCTTTAATTTGTTTTTCTCTCCAAACTACTTTGACACCTTCCACTGCCACATCTGCCTTTCTGTCCTTGACACACATGTACAGTAGTGGTAACTGGGATAGGCTGTGGGTGTCTCAAGACAGGCTCTGGTATCATGGGATCATGGCTACCCTGCAATGGAGCTCAAAGGTGTGGGATCATTTTAAGAAACTGAAAGAGAAACCTGTGCAATACAATATCTGCAAGGCAGAACTTGCCTTCCACAGCAGTTATGTTTAGTTAGCATATAGCTAAGATCTAACCATGGCTAAATAATAGCAGCTGCATTCTGGCGCGATAGTCTGTATGTTTTATTTTCAATTAACGTATGACATATAATGTCCTCAGTTTGATGCAAATACAAGGATGTGTGTGTGTGTGTGTGTGTGTGTGTGGGTGGGGGGGATGCTGACAAATGATGTGTTTCTGTATTAATTTGCAATAAAAATTCTTCATTGTCATCATATTGTGCTGGTTGTGCACTAATCCTGTGGTGATTTCTCTCTGCACCCACTGTTCTGCTCCACCCTTGGGGGAAAAGTGGTTGGGGGGGGGCTTTCAAAAACTACCTAACCACCCATGCCTCCGAGGCTACAACATATCCCTCTTAATGCTTTTGAACCAACAAACACCCCTCCACTTCACCCCCCCGGGATGATCTCCAAAATCAACTTTTAAGTGTAAATTCTCTTTGATGCTGCTCGCAGCGTGAGGCCGGGCCACTTGAAAGTGGCTGAGACAACATGCAATATTAATAATCACCACCGCTGCGACTCTCGGGTGATATCATCGCGCTCGCTCTGCTGGCAGCAGAGCGTCGTCTTAACATGGCAAAGCCCGCAAACTCCGTTTTGAAAGTATTTAGCCAAGACGCAGACCTACAACCGTGCAGGACTGCAAACAACAAAGCTCCACGATCAAGATTTTAAATATCGCAGCGCTTCAGATGGCTCTTTAAGACCCGTTCAGCGGAGATTAAATGGAGTCTGATGGTATAAAAGATTCAACGCTGAAGCCCATCTGAAGGGAGCGGAGTGATCTTTTTGAAGAGTAAACAAGTTTTTTGTCTGGGTTCAGCGTTTTAATCAGACTGAAACGTGTCTGTGAAATGAGGACGAACTGACAGGAGCTGGAAACCATCCAGGAGACCCAATGTCAAAACTGCTACAAACACTTTGGAGTCGAGGGCAAAAATCAATTAAGAGTTTCTCACATCTTTTTGGTCCTGCTCATACTTATCGTCAACACCATCTTTGATCTAAGCGACAGCTCTAAAGACAAAGTGACGACAAGCAGGGGCGTTTTGAGGACACTGCTGATGTTTGTTTTTGTGTTAATGCCAGTTTTCACACTTTGGTTAACTGCATCACTAATCATGCATGTAAAAAAAAGTGTTGAAATTCTGCTCAAACTGACGGTCCTCACCTTCTCGTGTTGTAAATTGTTGCCTCATTTGATGCAGCTGGGCCTGTTGCTGCCAAAACGCTGAGTGTGCTCTCATTGGTTTAAAATGGCGGACATCAGGGCAGACCCTCGGTTATTTAAAACATGACCCGAGGCGAAAATGTNGGAAGTCAATTGAAGGTCCCCACGGGGTCGAGAAACAAACGTGTGTGTGTGTGTGTGTGTGTGTGTGTGAATGGGAGATCTCTTTGCAGAGCAGAGCACTGAAGGGGGTGGGATTGCTGCATGATAGCAGGCACAAAGAAGGGGTGGACTCGGCATAATGACGTCTTTTTTTATTTCCACGTCACAGATAATCTGATATAAATATATTTACTCTGTGATATTTTAATATAAAGAAAAAATAATAATTGTATAAAACAATGGCTATTTTTGTAATGTCTGATCAGTCATTACAAAAAAATAGCATCTGAAGATAAATTAAAAAAACTGAATTATATTCTGAATTTTTTAAATTAATAATAATAATTAATAATCTGCAATTTGACAGTTGCACTTGGTAAGACTCCTTGAAATAAAAAAAACTTTTCAGATTAACAAATTTAATAATTCAACATATTCTGATCTTGTTTAGTATATCTGTCTAAAAACAAATAGCATCTGAAGATAAATTAAAAAAACTGAATTATATTCTGCCCTTATTCTTTTAAAATTAATAATTAATAATCTGCAATTTGACAGTTGCACTTGGTAAGACTTCTTGAAGTAAAAAAAAACTTTTCAGATTAACAAATTTAATAATTCAACATATTCTGATCTTGTTTAGTAAACCGGTCTAAAAATGAAATCAAAAATACTTTTTTAGCTGATATAAGATTGTGAAACTTGGTTAGAGGAACAGTTTTCACAGTGAAGTGACTCCACTGCTCAGAAACATGAACAGATGAAATAATCTCCACTTTAAACCTYGTTGGACCAGCTTTGTTTCAGAGCACTTCTTACCTTGGGAACATAAGTGCTTCCTCCTTTCTGCAACCAAATCAGTGATTAATTAATTGAGATTTATACCAAAATCCCTTATCTTAGTTTAGTGCAAAAGGCCTCTGGACTGAGTGAATGGTTTTGTTTTCTTTCTTCCAGCTTTTCACTCATGGAACCACCAACAAGCTAGTGGGCTGCTATGTGGATGAGAGTCCTGAGGATGTGGTCCTTGTTCGAGTGTATGGAAACAAGACAGAGCTAATTGTGGACAGAGATAATGAGCTCAAAAGCTTTCAGGTAGAGTTGATGTGTTGTTGAGCTTACCTCAGGTAATAATAGGACGTTTCAGAATAAGCTCTCTGATCTAAATTGTCTCTCTCTGACCTTTTTTCTAGGTGCTGCATGCTAACGGTTGTGCTCCACGCCTCTACTGTACTTTTCAAAATGGCATCTGCTATGAATTCATGCAGGGAGACGCTCTCGGGCCTCAGGATGTTCGAGATCCAGTCTTGCTCCGGTCAGAACAAAACACTTATACGTTTTTGTAGTGCTGTTTAGTTTACAAACATTAAAATGACTAATAGACTAAATAAAGGCTATGTTCACACTGCAGGTAAATCCAATGTTTCTGCACTTATATGACCCACGTCTGGTTTTTCATGACAGTCTGAATTCTACAAATCCAATGTTTTAAGTCCGACTCAGGCCTCTTCAGTTTGTGGTGCTAAATCAGATGCATGTTTGATGTTTTTCAAAGCGACCTCAGCAAGCACGCACTGTAAAAGATGGAGTATTCTGTACACATGTACCTAACTTAATATGCAGAGCTAATATTGACAAAATCTACCAGGGCCAACAAAATAATTTTGTCACAGAGGCAGATTGCTAACGTTTTCTTTCTTCTGGATATTGTTTAACAGATATATTTTTTATGATTTTAGTAGCCGAACTGTATTATTGAAGATTTTGCAGACATCTTCTCCTGCTCCCAGAGAACTACTGCTCACTTTTTTAGAATGTCGTGTAGGGCTGAGTAATATGGCCTAAAATCAATATCACGATATATTGACCAGTTTACCTCGATAACGATAAATGCACGATAACTCTTACCGTCACCACCCACCACCACACACAGATACTGTACATGGTATAGTAAAGTCATAACACTGTGTCCATGTTCTTAGTCAAAGTACACAGTTTAGTATTCTCTAATGAAGTATTATACAAAAATTTTAACCTCAACCATTTGGACCAAAGGGATTTGTAAGGAAGCATTTGATTTTGAACAGCTTTTCTGTAGTTTGTCATTTTGAGTGTTTTTAATGTATTTAATTAAAAAAAACATTTTTAACAAGACTTCAGTCATACAAATATTTAAGCATCTCCATAACTTTTCCGTGCAAACACATTGTGTTTGTACTATAATTTTATATTTTAAAGAATATACCAAATATGTCTTTTGTACTTCACAAAATAACTACTTTTTCATTTGTTAGACTGACTGATTTCTCTATTAAAATAACAAATTCTTTCAAAAATATATTATTTAGAGAGCTCATGTAATCATTTAATAGTATGTATTCTTCGTATTTGGCCATTTATTGAATCACAGAGCGGTTCAGTCACAGCATGATTCTATATATAAGATAAACTACAAAAAGTAAACTACAAAAAGAACAAAGTTTTTTTTTGGGGGGGTGGGGGGCAAGTGTTCATCTGGGTTAATATTTTGGAAGAGATGAAACTGTCTCTCTCACAGAACTCAGCCCGTGTGCACCTCGGTGCGCTCTTGTAACWGCAATGTTGAAGAGAGGAGTTTGGTCACGTGAGCAAAGTTGGACATATCTGTTAGATAACGATGCTCTGAACACATAAACTTATAGTGTTAGGTTTTAGATACCAACGTCTCAGGTAGTTCGGGAGCGAAGTGTGGAGGACGGGGTTTGCTCACCCAGGATAGGAGCTGCAGGCTGATTGGTGTTTATCCTGCAGACTTCTGCACCGACATCAGAAAGACCTGCCCTGCTCTGCTCTGATTGGATAAAACTGTGGGGTTCGTTTGATTTGTTGAAAGCAGCGTCTGTTTAAACCTGTATCAGACTGGGTGGCTTTAACGAGACCGCAACAGAAAACAAGCAGGTTCTCCGACATGGGCAAAATGACGTCGGTCATGAAATTAGCATATCATGATATAATTTATTTTCCCGGGCAACTTTTTTTTTTTTTACCAGTATTATCGTGAATGATATGTTATGGCCCAGCCCTAGTGCCGTGTGCGAGTAAACGGGGTGGGGATGGGTGACATGGCTAACAAATATACATAAATAGCAATGAGTCAGGTTTGGATTTGAATCAGTATGTTTTACATCGAATGAAACAAGAACTTTAACAAATAAATTCAACAACATTCTGGCTATTTAGTGATATTTCCACAGTTGTGGTCTTGACTGGTCTTGAAATAAAATCCTGAAAAAAGTTGTCTTGAGACCAGTCTTAAGACCAAGACCGATCTGAGTACTACAACTCTACTTGCAGATACTATAGCAGTCATTGGCTCTGGCTCATGTTGTTCTCTCGCTGGGTTTATGCATTAAAAAAACAAATTCCAAACAAATTCAAACGTATCAGTATCAGGTAGCCTACCTGTATACTATCCCAATGCAAGTAGCATATGTGCACCACCTGTGTAAAGTGTGCAAATCAAGTCTCCTAAGCAGATTTTTCAAGCTGTGTTGAGCAAAATAACATTCAGCACAGCTGAAAACTCTCCTTTTGCTTTTAATTAGGATATTTTGTCACAAGTAGGCAGACATTAATTATAGCTGTGCAGGTTTTGAAGGCTGGCTGTTAGTGATGCACGACAACTCATTTTAAGAACCAATACCGATAACCTATAACTTTCTCCTTCTAATGGTCAATAACCGAAAACCAATAACATGCCAAGAGATAAGATTACTCAAAAATGGGTAAGGTCAAAACATAAATAAACACCAATACCAAGTGACACTAAATTATACCATTTGAAATAAACTCTTAGCAAACAAACATTTCTTAAAATATATCAAACAAATCAATTTCCCAAATGGCCATCTTTTTAAATGAGGCACATTAATTATAAAAAAGGACCTTTAACACTGATCTCAGATTGAAACAAAAGAGTCATTCCACAAGTTCAAAACAAATAATGCACTAACACAAGTTAGATTCAAAGTACATTTGTTTTTATTAGTATTAAATTGATTTAAAACATTTTTCTACCTCAAACAGTGCTTCTGAGATGATAGTGCAGAAATGATAACCTGTCAATCAAAGTGTGAATGCATTACAACCGCATCTTACTTACAGGAAGACATACAGAGCAGCAGCTCGGCATGGTAAACCATGGTTAACAAGGAGATAAAAGCTTCGTATTTTAGCGAGGGTGAATGGCTGGTTGTCATCATCATTAAAGTGCTTGAGATCTGCGTCATCTCTGGCAATTTTATTGGATTTGTCAAAAACCTCAGCAGTGATTTAAGTCCCAACAAGTTCTTGGATGCTAGCTTGTTGTTGTTAGCATTTTAGCAGACGGGACTCTGTGCTGCATTCAGGAGGTAACGGATTTTACGTGTTCTCAAATTGGGAGTAGTTTTTCCGATGTTTATAATTATTAAGTTTTTGTATAATATACAAGGTTAATTGGTAAAATAATATTAATAATTCTTAAAATGAATGGCTTGTTTTCCTGTCACTCTGGGCTCTGGTGTGAGTGTTTTTGAGGTGTGCCGAGTCAATTTGGGCGGGAGGGATAACCAGGAAACGGGGGAATGGTAAGGKCAAACTGCCAAATACTGGGAGACGATTGAGGAGTTTCATTCAGAAAGAAAGCCAATAAACACCCTCACGTTCAAAACCAAACCCAAAAAATCACAAGTTGCGACTCAGGAGATGTGCAAGTCACTTTAGAAAAGAAGAAGCCCAAAGTTGCTTATAATAAGCGGACTTGGCAACACTGCTCATGTCTGATGACACGTATCCTCACGGATTATTAATCCCACCCTGGCACTGCTGGAACTTAGTAAAAAATGTTTTTTTTAATCCTGTAGTCGGTCTACAAGTCTCCAGATCAGACAGAATATGGTTTTATCGACTCCTTTTACAGTTAGTATACTTTGAAATGTACTTAATAGAGCTGTGCATTGGCAAGAATTTGGTGCGATATTTCAGTGTATCAATAATTTCCTTCTTCTCTCAGACTGATAGCCAGAGAAATGGCTCGCATCCATGCCATTCATGCCCACAACGGCTGCATTCCCAAACCCAACCTTTGGATCAAGATGAGGAAGTATTTCTCTCTGGTGGCCACAGAGTTCACCGAACAAGCCTCCAACATCAGGTGAGCTCCTGCTGCAGGTCTGCCTCCTTTCTGGACCTGCTCTCACTGTTTCATGAAGTTCTGCTCAGTTTGGCCTGCAGCTGGTGTAAAAGCAGAGGCGTGGTGTTTATTGGTCTAACACGTTAGATTTGGATGTTTTAGTGCAGTGATTCCCAACCCTGGTCCTCAAGGACCCCTATCCAGCATGTTTTACTTGTTTCCCTGCTATTCAGCAGGTCTTCAGAGGATTGTTAATCACTCATTCATTCAAACCAGGTGTGTCTGCCTAAAAATGCTGCAGGATTTCTCAAACATGCATGAATGGGTCAGAGCAAGGCTTTGGGCATGTTTTTTTTATGAGAGTATAACATTATAACATGATATAAAACTCAAAAATGTTGATTTTACATYATATTGCCCCTTTAAGGCTAATAATTAATCAGCCAATCACACAGCAGTAATCCGAGCCTTTAGGGAGGAAAACCTGATGAAGACAACTTAGTAAAGTTTAAAGAGCATGAAAACAAAGAAGAAAAGTGATTTCTGTGACGTTGAGCTTGAGCTGGTTGTTGGTCTGAATGGTTCAGAGACTGCTCTGAATTGTTGTGCATTCAGTGGGTACTCAGATAAAGTTTCATATTTGAGTCTTTGTGAAACTACTCCTCAGACTTTTTATTTAATGTTTGTGAGTGAAAACTCTGCTGACTCTGTTAAAAATGCTTTAGTTACTGAAGTTACTTTAGTTACTTTAGTTACTGTTTTGCCTCTAATAAAATGTAGCTGAATGAGTGTTTAAGAAACGATTTTCCCCTGAACTAAAACACTTTATGCTGTAATGTGTTTTTATTTGTGAGTATGTATTAAATGCAGGACATTTTTCTATTTTAATAATACATTTTAATAACCCACCTTATTATATGACACGGTAATAAGAAAATGCTACAAAATAAAACATGGAATTAAAAAAACTTCAGCAAAAAAAAAAAAGATTTTGTAGAACCCTACAATAAAATGGAGTTACTGTTGCTGCTTTTAGTATTTTTTTATTTAATAACAGTTATCTTCATTTATATAATAAAGTACAAAACATTGAAGCATTACGTACTTTACCAGCTATTAATGCTTTAAACTCTCCAYTTTTCCTCAGGACTGTAGATGATACAGGTCAGTCCAGATGAGGCCCATTGTTATTATTTAAACACGGTCCAAAGAATCCCAGTGCTCCTGCTGGTTTGTTTGTTTCCTCTGGTCCATCCTCATGCCTCAGCACATAAACTCCTCCTCTGCAAAGAAGGCAGGCGGCCTGTTTACTTTTCCACAAATTGGGACAGYAAACCAGATGAATCAGACCAGGTCACCTTCCTCTGTTGCTCTGCGGCTCAAATCTGATGTTTGAGTGCTTTCAGTGCTGGTCAGCATGGACGCTGTTTGAACATTTTACTCGTACATCCAATATTTTATTTACACATTTTTACTCTTACTCATTATTTCTGTTTCACTTGCTGCTGGAGATGCAAACAATTAATCGACTTATTGTTAACTGTCTAATAATGGTTTATTAGATTAAAATCCGTCCCAATCGATAAACTGATAACATTTGCCGCTGCATCACATAACCAATTTAAATCACTCTAACCAGAAAAATACACGTTCTCTGAGACCCTTAGGTATTTAGGACCGACTCTGACATAATTAGAAATAAAACAGAAATATTTAAATTGACCAATATATAAATAAATACACTTAAAATGCACCAATTAAATTTAAAAAGGAGAACTTTACCTTATGTTTTATAATTTAATCCATCCATCCACCCATTTTCTGTACACGCTTCTTCCTTTTCAGGGTTGCGTGGGTCACTGGTGCCCATATCCAGCAGTCACAGTGCGAGGGGCGGGGTACACCCTGGACAGGTCGAAAG